CCCGGGGGGGGGGCCCCCCCCAGCCGAAGGGTGCTGGCTGGTCCTGCTGTCTCAGCACCAATGGGCACCCACATGGCCCCCGAGGTCAGCGAGGGGGGACGGGACAGGCAGCCCCGAGAGCAGCCCAGCACCCCGAGCTGCTGAGCCCTGAGGCTCAACATGAAATTCCCCGTAGTCCGAGAGGTGCCAGGGAAGTGGGGGCTGGGCTGGGCAGCCAGCAGAGATGGCTGGACTCGGCTTACCTGTGTGCAGGATGGTCTCACCCCCAGCTGCAAAGGTGCTGCCACACGGTGCCCGGCTCCTTGGAGGGCTGCGGGCGCCCGGCACAGCCCAGCACGCTCACTCCCCATCCCCATTTCTCTCCCCATGGCAGGCAGCAGGGAGGCCGCCTTCGTCTACGCCATCTCCTCGGCTGGGGTGGTCTACGCCATCACGCGGGCGTGCAGCCAAGGGGACCTGAAGGCCTGCAGCTGCGACCCGCTCAAGAGGGGCCGCTCCAAGGACGAGCGCGGGGAGTTCGACTGGGGCGGCTGCAGCGACAACATCAACTACGGGATCCGGTTTGCCAAAGCCTTCGTGGACGCCAAGGAGAAGAAAGTGAAGGACGCCCGGGCGCTGATGAACCTGCACAACAACCGCTGCGGGAGGATGGTGAGTGCAGCCCCCGCCGCCGAGCCCTGTGCCCGGCCAGCCCCCCCAGTCCCACCGGCACCTCCCAGCGGGGGAACGGGCAGTGGGAGCAGCTCGGGCATAGGAGCGGGACCCTGGGTGGCCACGGAGGGCAAGTCCTGCTGCGGACAGGGACAGGACACTGCCCTGCCTTCCCAATGCCCCCTGCCCGGGGAACAGCCCCGTGGGGACGGCAGGACCCTGCTTACCTTAGCCCCCAGCACGAGTCCTCCCTGTGCAGCACCCCCCTGCCATTGGGAGCCCCATCCCGCACAGGCCAGGGCTGATGAGCTGCACCAGGGACAAGCGGACCGCAGCGTGATGTCCAACGCCCAGGGCACCCGCCGGTCCTCACGGCATCCCTCTTCCCACAGGCTGTGAAGCGTTTCCTGAAGCTGGAATGCAAATGCCACGGGGTCAGCGGCTCCTGTGCACTAAGGACTTGTTGGCTGGCAATGTCAGATTTTCGAAAGACAGGGGATTACCTAAGGAAGAAATACAACGGGGCCATCCAGGTGACGATGAACCAGGATGGCACTGGCTTCACAGTAGCCAACAAGAACTTCAGGAAGCCCACGAAAACAGACCTGGTGTATTTTGAGAACTCACCCGATTACTGCGTGATGGACAAGTCAGCAGGTAAAACCCAAAGCTCCTGTCGGTGCCCAAAAGCAGCTCTTCCTCCCCTCCTGGCGGGCCGGCAGCTCCCAGCTAGCCCACCCTGGCAGGGCTTTGGGACATCGGCTCCCATACTGAGCCCCAGTCCCCGGTGGGGGGGTTGCTCGGGGGGGGTGTCACCCAGCCCTCAGCATGTGTTGGTGCTCACTGGAGCGCTGGGTCCCCACAGCACCTCATGCCTGTGCAGACAGGGCTGGGTTTGTCCGAAATCCCTGGGCTTTACACCAAAGATCCAAACCCATCAGTAACGAGCGTTTCCCCAGAGCCTTGCTCCTGCAGAGCAAAGCTCCCCTGAACGAGCAATAAAGAGCCCGTTTTGTGTGGCAGGCTGCCGGCTTCCCCTCTGAACACAGCCCGAGGCTGGGATGGGAGCAGGGAAGGCAGCGTCGGGGCTGCTGGGCTCCCGCAGAGGTGATCAATGGTTTCCCAGTTGGAGCATCCCGGGGTCGGGGGTGCGCAGCAGCCGCGGGGGCAGAGGCAGCACACGCTCCCGCTGCCCCTCAGCGAGCCCCTGGCCCGAGCAGGGGGGCATTCCTAGCTCTGCCAGCTGCAAAGCCCGGCTCAGGGGGCACAGGCTGCTCCAGGGCCCCCCCCCCCCCAGGGCAGAGCCTGTCCCTGTCCCCCTCTGCTCTCACGCTCTGGGCAGCGGTGGGTGCGGGCAGGGGGTCACCAAGGCTGCATCCCCAGCCAGGCTGGCTGCCCACGCGGCGAGCCATGCCCGTACCAAAGCAGCACAGGCTCCGCAAGCTCCCCCCGCTGCGGCACGTGCTGTGACAGGGATGAGATTCCACCGCTAAGGCGGTCGCATCCCAGGGCTCCGCTGCCGATGGTGGATGCCCGACCTTCCCATCGCCAGGAGCTGCGGGGCAGGGGGGGAGGCAGCGTTTGGGCAAGGTGGAGGAGGAGGAGGAACGGCCTGACCCGCTCTCGCTTCCTTCTCCAGGCTCCCTGGGCACGGCCGGCCGCGTGTGCAACAAGATGTCGCGCGGGACGGACGGCTGCGAGGTGATGTGCTGCGGGCGGGGGTACGACACCACGCGCGTCACGCGTGTCACCAAGTGCGAGTGCAAGTTCCACTGGTGCTGCGCTGTGCGCTGCAAGGAGTGCGAGGACACTGTGGACGTGCACACGTGTAAAGCACCGAAACGGGCCGAGTGGCTGGACCAGACCTGAGGAGACAGGAGCACAGAGGGAAGAATCCACTGCCACCCCCCCTTGCAATTTTTTAAAACCCTGTGCCCTGAGGGCCATGACATTCTGGGAGCTGTAGTTCAACTGCATGGCTTTTTTTTATTTAATTCTGCAAAGCACTAAAGAAAGGACTACATTTCCCAGGAGGTACTGTGGACCGTTCTATTTGCTCAGCAAAACTAATCCCCTACCTAGGAGGAGTCTGCAATCCTTGCTTAAACTGTGAAACTGCCCGTTGTTCGCTTTGCAAAGGGACGGTGCAGCCGGTACGGACTTGGAGGACCGACCGTCGGGATGCGATGGCTGAGGAAACCCGCACCTCCCCGGAGAACTCACATTGCGGTGAAGTTTCACCAGCAAAACACACTAGTTCAGAATAATCCACTGCTGCGGAAAGCATTCTTGCTTTTGCTTTTTTTGCGAGGCCAGAGGAAGGGCGTTGCGCATCCCTGAGACAGTTCTGTGACCCCCGCATTTCCCCCGAGCCGACCCTGGCCGCGCTGCTGCCCCCCCCGAGCGAGAGCAAGCTCTGCACGAGGCTTCTCCCCATCTCCCCAGCAAAGGTGACAAGCGGAGCTGCAGATTGGACCTGAAACCTGGCTGCACAGCCGAGGGCCACCCCTGGGCGCTGGCAGGCACAGGGGGCTGGGGAAAGCAAACAAAACCTGTGAACTTACTGGTAGGTTCTGAAGTCGACAGATACAACAGCGTCTCTGTAAAACTCCCCTGTATGTTGTGTATACTGCTTATTATTTTAAGTCAAAATCCATTATAAACCTGTATCAGAAAATGATGTTCTTTGCTGTTTGAATTCCTGTACACCCAGCTGGGCTCTTCCCCCCGGGGGAATCAGCCCGCAGCATTTCTTCTACCTGCCTGCAAGCTCCCGCCATCCTAAAGCCCAGAGCTCCCCGCCCCGGGGGTACCTGCTGATCCCCCCAACACAGAGCCATGGCGCCCAGCAGGCAAAGCCCCAGGGCAATCCTTTGTAAGCACTAGCACGCTCCAGGACATCTCATGACATGGTGCCGGGTCGAGCAGGAGATGCCCGACTGGCTTCCAAACCTGGCTTCCAAACCTTTCCCGTAAAAAAACCCAAACAAACAAACAAAAAAAACCCAAACCCAAACACCCGAAACTTAAACTATCAACTAAAATTGAAGCTGGTGAGAGGAGGGAGCTGCAGAGCTGCCAATAGATAAGTCACAGAGATCAACCCTTCTCATCGCCTCCATTCTTTTCTCCCCCCAACCTGGGCAAGCAGTGATTACGATGCGTTACTCAGTGTAGAGTCTGGTCAGAAGGCACCGATCCACAGAGACAGCGTTAGTGCCCAAGACAGACAGCTCAACCTGCAAACTAAAGTGACCCAGGCAAAAAAATTAAGAAATTCCCTTAATCACTGCAATTCCTGAGCACACGCTGAAGCTGATGGGGGTGCCTCTGCCCTTCCCTCCCAGAGCCCAGCTGCCCATTGCCCCCGGGCAGGCTGCGCTTTCTCCCTGACCCAGGAAAAACATTTGTGTTCCTAATGCTGCTCATCATCGTGCTGATGGGCAGGGAAAGACAGGGAAAGACATTTCATGCACTTGAGGCGAGTTTTCCTGAAAGTTAAGCTTACACCAACAGCGGGAAAGGACGAGTCGAGTAACGTTCACCTGTAAATACTTACAACTGGGATCTGCTCCGCGCTGCTGCTGCTGGAGGGGCCGCGGGAGCTCTCCGAGGAGTCAGGGTTCTCTCCTGGCAGCAGCGAGATGTCTGGGCAGAGGGAGCTGAGCGGGCTACAGCGGCAATGTCCAAAGTAAGGTCAAAGTAGCAGGATTAAGGCAAAGAAGATTATTCTGGTCCTAAGCCACCCATCGGCTACCGCACAAAGAGCATCCCTGAACAGGGGTTTTACCCGATGGCCCTAGGAAATACCTACTCTGAGTGGTGAGAGAAAACCACTTTGAAAACTGCTTTGATGGGAACTGCTCAAAGAATTTCAAGAGCCTGCCACGGGCCAGGTTAGAGCACCCCACACCGTGCCAGACCACCGAGACCGCTCAGGCGGAGAAGGGACCTTCAGCAGAGCCATGGGCCAGCAAAGAGGTGACATTTTAACAGAGCTCTTAAAACAGGAACCCCACCTCCCCGCTGCCTAACCTGTTCCTTGTAGAATCAACCATCTCCCTTTTGAATCCCATGCTGGTGGCACGAGGGCTGAGCAGCACCTTTCGCCCTCTCTGCTCTTGCAGAACTTGCACTCGAGCTGGTGTTCACCTGGGAGGCACCCGGGTCTCACCCCAGGCCCCTCGAAGCTGCCTGAATTTCAAGGAGAGGCAATTTCCCCAAAGATGTGCTGCGTCTCGGCCGTGCCGAGGAATGCTGGCAGGTGAGGTCTGAGCCAGGCCAAAGGCATTTCAAGCCTGCCGTAGCACAGCGTCCGTCAGCACGCAGGCTAATCTACTGGGAAGAGCTCCCTCATTTATCTTCATTACTGCTCCACCTACCATCAATTTACGACAGACTTTAAAAAAATGCTGCCCCTCGGCAATCAATCCACGCCTCCCTCCCTCCTGCTCCCAGCGTGGGACACGCTCTGTGGGCTGGGAGGGTCCCAGTGCCTGGGGACCCGGGCTCAGCCGTCAACAAACATTTCTTCCTCTCCAGAGGACCCCTGGGAGGGGTCTCCATAGCAGATCCATAGGCCCACCCGATGAATGACACCTTCATCAATGGCTGCTGCCAAAGTACCGCTCCCCTTTCAATGCAGACGTTCAGCATTCTGAACAAAAGGAGAGAGCTCCCGAGGACAGGCTGAAGTGGGCTTTACTGGCTTCCCCCTTCCCGTACGTCCCCGAGGCACTAAACTGGATGCTTCCAGTGCTCTGTAGAATAACCCTAGCCGAGAAGGCAACCCTGCCAGGTCCGCTGGCACGATGGGACTCCCACCCCGACACAGCACAGCAGTAAATTGGAGGAGTAAAAATCCTTGGAAGCAGGTACCAGTATCAGAGAAGCACCCGGAGGAGCAGTCGTGGAGGCAGCCCGACGAGCTGGAGCCTGCCCAACAGAAGAGGTGAGCGTTTCTTCTGCAAAGGGATATGCAAGGCTGCGCTCGCTTCTTGTTTATTAACAAGCAATTAGCAAAAGCACGGGGCCTGGGGATCAGAAATAGACTGGTTAGCTAGCGCTAACTCCCAGCGCTTGTGCAAGATGTCCCATTGCAGGCTGAAGGAAATTCAGATGGGTCTGTCTTCCCGCGGAGGAGCCCTACCTAAGCTCCCCTTCAGCACACTCATCCTCAGCGAGCAGATGGTTTCCATCTATAAACGTTTATGAAGCTGCAGCCTCACCAGGGAACGCTCAGTTCCTCTTACAAGCCCCTCAAACGTGCAGGGAGCCTTCTAAGCAAGACCATCTTCTAATTACCCTCCAGTCAAAAGCATGTCTGAGCTCAAGGACAAGCAGCAGAATTAATTGCTAAATGAGCTTCTGAATAAATTACTTCTCTGAAGAAGCTGGACACACAGGAGGAGGGAGGCGGCCTTGGAAACACGGCACCCACGCAAGCTCAGGGTATTCTCGCCGCTAAGCCACGTGCGAGCCAGAGCGTGCCTTAGCCCAGGTGACACCACTGTTTTTTCCGGACGGATGCAGTGGTTGAGATCAATTAAGTTTTTGACCCCCAGCACTGCAGAGCGTATACACTGCTCAGCTACGCCCCAGTCCTACACCCCCCTCGTTGCCCCCACGGGCCCCTTCCGTTCACCATCACGTTCATCCTTGCACACAAGGCTTTGCTCGTGTACCTGTGCCAGCGTGCTCTGGGGGGGGACACGACATCTGCTGCACCAGGTCCAGCTCTCGGGGACCGATTTATTGGGGCATTCTGACTAACATTTGCATAACCTGTCGAGATCCGTGTGGGAGCTTTCACATCCCTTATTGCTGAAGCCGAGTCACGGAGGGCTGCTCCAGCTCGCAGCAGGGGGGTTAGGGCTCTGGAATCTCAGCTGATGAGTCAATGCAGGAGAATGCAATAGTCACATACTGTGTCACACTGTTTTATAACTGATGATAGCCTACAGCCAAATTAGAAAAGAAATCAAGAGGTTCTTAAGAGAAGGGTCCGAGCTGATGAGGCCACGGTACGATTGCACAATTCAGCGCATCCAGAGTAAAAGGAAAATGTCCCTGGCCAGAAATAACCGAAGCAAGAAGATCCCCAATGGAGAGACACACTCATCCTCGTGGATGCACCCTCACTGATGCAATAAGTGTGGGTGTGTTATCGAGCTTTCCCCAATGACCAGGCTCACCGAAGGTCCTACCAAAAAGCACAATACAACAATCGAAGCTGGAAACGAGGAAAATTCCAAGCACATGAGCAGCATCCCTGATCACTGTCTTCTTCCCACAGCGGTAAGGGCTGGGGCATGCAGAGCACGCCCCGCTTCGGAGGCGCAAGAAAGGGAGGAGGGAGCCAGGAGGCAGAGCTGGACACCGAAGCTGCCTTTCCCCTCTGTCCACCTTTATTACAAGCTGGGTGAATTCAGACCACAGAAGCCCACCGTGGTTGCTACTGTCAATGTGACCTGATGTTTAGGGGAGATTTCTGACCCATGAGCAGAGCAGAAGAGCTCGCACGTCGCCTCTGCAGCCTGAGCGGCAGAAGAGGGAAGGGAGGAGCCCGTCTGCCCTTTGCCGCAGCACAACAGGGCGAGCTGGGCACCGCTCGGAGGCTGGCAGAGCACGAACCCCATCTGCTGCCCTTGCTACCAGTACCGTCCTCTGCTAGGGACACAGCATCGGTGCAGGGCTGCTCCCTACCTCCACAGCTGGTCCTGCTCCGAAATCTCAGCACGGCCTCAAGTGGCTCCCAACCACACACCCCATACATCAGTAGTTTGGGAGGTGCATCTCCCCTCAGCGTGTCATCTCTGGGCAGGGGGAAGGGCAAAATTAATTTACGTCTGTATGAGCCCCGTACGTAC